GACGGGCAAAGTATTATTATTTTAGTGTTTTCTGACAAAATATATATAGTAGAATTATTATATACATATTTGTTTCTCTATAGTCCATTTGTATTGTGTTTGGCAGTTTTGCTGTTGCTTGCGTTATCAACCCTTGGGGACTGATACCAGTTGTTATAATATTACCATTGGCTGTGTATATCAGACGCTACTATTTGCAGACGTCCAGAGATATCAAACGTCTCGAAGGATCCAGTAAGGTCATTTTTTTTATTTATTAAACACATATGAATATGTCATCGTAATTAAAGACATTTGAACCCATATTGCATCAATCAGCCAAGCATGTACTCTGGTACTTGAGATATAAGACAAAAGCCTTGAGAAGAAAAACGTATTGCAGTGAAAAAAAAATAGAAACACGGAATAATATATTACTTGTGCACACTTAATAGTATAAAATGATGGTAACTGCATTCCCAAGTACTATCCTCAAAAACACGTGGTGCATTCCATGTTCAAGGTCTGCTGGAAATTTGTGAACCACTGCTGAGGCTTTCGTTATACTTTATTTGTCATGTGAATGTCTGCATACATTTGTTACAATAAATACACCATACAACTTTCTTTTTTTAGATATAATACCTCAGTCAGTATCGATCTGTGAGATCTTCTGGCCATGTTTTATATTTTCCATTGTATTTTTAGCTCGCAGTCCTGTTATTTCTCATTTGTCTGCGACTTTGCAAGGACTGTGGACAATTCGTGCTTTTAAAGCTGAAGAGATTTTTGAGAGAGAATTTGACAAACACCAGGATGTGCATACATCGACGTGGTTACTTCTTACGAGTACAACCAATTGGTTTTGTCAACGGATGGAAATGATATCAGCGGTGTTCATCTCATCCATGGCATTTTCTTCCGTTGCTGCTGCAGAAGGTAATGTATATTCGCCTGAGTCACACATACCTTGTGTCTGGGTGTTCCTAAACTGCACCATGTGGTATACCAATGGTATAATTCTTAATATAAAACTTCGTCATTGAAACTTTGAAGCGTTTGATCGATTTATTGACAATAATGTAGGTGTGCTTGCTGCACGGTTATCAACATTGACATATACCTAGAGGTTTTATTTTTTGCGATGAATGTTATTCGTTTACGACCTTGGTAACGTATGAAGAAACTACAGCACGACCTCAAGTTCTAATATATAAACATGTTTAATAGGAGGACAATACTTATTATAAGGTTTACTTCCAATTTAGGACTGTCTCCTGCTTTAGTGGGACTTGCTATGACTCATTGTATGGTATTAATGAATCAGTTCCAGTGGTTAATGCAAAAAGGTGCCGAAGTCGAAAACCAGGTGCGAGTAATGCCAATACTAAAAAAATACTTGTTACGAATGACTACTTTACCTGACACAAATATTAATACATCATTTCCATGTATTGTGTACACAATCCTGTGCCTTTATATGTTTATTATTATTGTTGTTGTTCTTAAACGTCCAGTTTCAAAAAAATATCCAATGGCTTTTACAGATGACATCACCAGAGAGAGTTGTATCATATTCAAATATTGCTCCAGAGGGTGCACTACATATCCCACACGTGAAGGAGTCTGACTGGCCTAAGTATGGCAGAATTACGATGGAAGGTGTGTCATTTAAATATTCGGAAGATTCGCCGAATGTGTTAATGAATATTAGTCTTACTATAAAAGCTAAAGAAAAGGTAAACTTATGACAGTTTCCTGTACTGTATTATGTTCAAATATATTAATCTTATTTAAATGAGTGCAATGCCATATTAATCGAAATCAGAGACGCAATATTGATTGATATATGCGTAATAATTGGTTTTCGCCCTCAATGTTTGAGCGTGTGTCGTATTTTCCTCTTCTATTAGAAAGAGAGTTTTGTTTAAAGCATAGTGCATCCGAATATGTGTGTTTTGTAACATTTTTTTTATCTAGATTGGCATCGTGGGAAGAACTGGTGCCGGCAAAAGTTCATTGGTTTCTGCTATGCTTCGTATGGCTGAACCGAGTGGTACTATAAAGATAGACGATGTTGATATCAGCTTATTAGGATTACATGATTTAAGATCAAGTATATCTATAATCCCTCAGGTAGACTAAACTCCACTGTTGTTACAGTGTGCATGTGACAATAATGACGAGTGAATGAAAATGAATCGTAAAACTAATCTTTGTACAATGATACATAAATAATTATGCAACTTACATCGTCAACTATTTGGTCACAGCAATATTCTTGTCAATCTAAGTAAAGTAATAGTTCGAGTCAAGTATGATTAAACTAATTTGTCGTGTACACTAAGATACACTTATCTGCGGAATGTGATGAACTAAATTACATTTTCTTACAATATTGGATTAAACTGTTTCCACCAACATTGATCATAGCAAAAGTGAAACACGATTTGCAATAAACGTACACCCCTACATATGTAAATACCGATATTTTACATTATGTTTGTTTTAAAATATGTAAATGTATTTACCAATACTTACTAATAATGATACATTATTGATTAACATTTCAAATATGTATGCTTTAGGACCCTGTCTTGTTTAGAGGTTCACTGCGTAAAAACTTGGATATGTTCTCTGAATACACAGATGATGAACTTTGGAAGTCGCTTGAACAGGTAATATTTACTGTAATATTTATTTGAATATTTACTGAGTATAAATCAATTGGTGGATATCATAACATTAATATATTTAATTTTCTATAAAACAAATGTGACGTGTTCGTTTATTTTCAGATATTTAATTCATGTTTTCGTTTTTTTTAATTTTATAAGGTACCATTGCGAAATGCAGTGGAAATAATGGGTGGACTTGATGGCGAATTGTCAGAATCAGGATCAAATTTAAGTGCAGGACAGAGGCAGTTGGTGTGTTTGGCAAGAGCTATACTACGTAATAATAAAATCCTCATTATAGATGAAGCGACAGCTAATGTTGACAAAACGTGAGCATCAACACTACTTTACTAAAATACTTGTTTGTGTTGCTAATGAGTTATTGTTGGGATGTTAATGTGAGTTCACTGACGACAATGGTGATTTACAGAATGCACCAAAAGGAGAAACATGAATATGTAGATGAACATACATGATATATGAGACAGCGAAACATAATGACAGGGAATTTTTGCACTGGATGTCAAAGACAATTGTTTCTTTTTTCAGGACTGATGCTATTATACAGCAGACAATTCGTACAAGATTCCAACACTGCACGCTACTAACAATAGCACATCGGCTGAACACTGTTATGGACTCTGATCGAATATTAGTTATGAGTGATGGAAGAATAGCCGAATTTGATGAACCACATTTACTACTGCAAAATCCTTCTGGATATTTGTCACAAATGGTTGCACAAACTGGTAGGGCTGAGAAACACAAGCTTTGTGATATTGCAGAGAAAGCTTATGGGGATAAGCATCGTGTACAAAGACTATGGATTACTAACGCAAAGAGTTCCCTCATACGAAACACAACTGAACTCCTTCAAATAGAAACAACTTTGTGATTTTTATCATTTCGACTGTGCGATATTTCAATCCGCATCAGGCAATATCATTTATATGATACACATACAATTGAAGTTTTCATTTCGCTCTCACGGCCATATACAACACTATTACCCATTTCGGAAATAGTCATATCCGGAAGTAAAACAAGTGGCACCACAAGCTTTAACTGAAAAGATTGTACGAGTGGGACGAAAAACGTCTTGCTTATAATTTCAAGTAAATAGCACCCGAAACAAAAGTGAGGCTAAAACACAATACGATTGTTTTAGTGCTCTAATTATTGGCGAATCGGTTGATAATGATTTACAAATATAGATTAGTATTAGTATAAACAAGGTTACATATAATCTGTTAGAACTTGGATTCTATCTACAAATTGTGACTGTGACATACAGCAATTTACTTATAATATCAGGTAATGTTAATTTTAAGTTTATTCCATAATAATACAGTCAATTATTAGTAATTAGTAATTCAATATGTAATTGCTATATTGCATAGATGTGCCTATACAACTATCTTTTATAAGAATTTGACAGGCAATAGTGTAGCGAATCCGCCTAATTTCTGGTTGTTTTTTTTGAAAGCCTATTTGTTACCTCAATGGTCTCACGATTCTTTCTGAGTCAGACAGGGAAAGATGGATTTTTAGACACTGTTGTAGACGCATTCGTAACTTTTGATGAACTGCTTGAGATGACACCCATTCCCAATGACGTCATTCCTGATCTCGTAGGCGAACTTTTATTAAATGTAGACGGCCTAATTACTGATGTTAATACAGCTGTTCAAAAAAAAATGGATGAACACTTCCCTCACAAATGCTAGCACAAGTTACACTCCCATGCAATAGCATTGCGAATGCTACTGCTGTAATGGAACTAGCTCCATCCAAGGATGCATCGTATATTGTGTTACATATAAAATCACACATTGGTAGAGTAAAGGGTTTATAGGATGATGTTCAAAGAAATACTGATGTTATCCGACAGTTTACTATTACCATCGCTGACAAGATTGGCAGTTATATACATTAGTTAAAAACTATCATTGACAAAAGTATGTTGTTGTACATGCAGCGTGTCCTAAGAATGCAAAAAGAGATTACTGGTGTAGGAATAAAATTCACAGCGGAACTTGTCATTGGAAAATTACCCTTCGGTAAGGTACAGATAGAGCTTGTACAGTCTACTAAAATTGGTCAATGTAGTAGTCTCAGTGGAATGTACGAGAACTTCAAAGATGTTAAAGCTGTACGAGGCATGGTTAGATTTTTTGTCCCTATACCATACAAATTGATTACAATTAAAGTTGACAAAAGGCACGAGTTTGTCTTTGCTTCTAACAGTTGTGATTTTCTCTTCCGGATTGTATTTTTGGACTTTTTGAACAATGGCACTAACACCATCATGATGTTGGTAGGAGTACACGCACGATTATTTGTTGGCTATTGAATGGGAATTTCATTCATGAAAATAATGTAAGTAAATACTAAACTGTAAATCCGATAGGCTATTTGGTACTAATACGCCACACACGTGGACAATTTTTGAATCTCATACATACACAAACATGTCAATAACAAACGCTGTAATTACACAATGGAATACAGGAAACCTAGCCCTGTCTCCAACAGAAACCTTTCCTTCGCCGAACTACCTTATGTCCGACTTACATTAACTGACAACTCAATTTCTGCGGTAAGTTAAATGTTCGGCAAAAGGCTTATGAAGATAGCAGTGAATGTTGATAGGTGTCGATGACGCGCATGCGCACTTCCTACATACGTTCTTAGGTTCATCAATAGGTTAGTGACGCGCGTCGAAACATGGATGAGTGCACGAGGGAAGCCCCAGCAAATCCACTAAAAAACGCAAGCATATTTTCTAAACTTATTTTCAGGTAAGTGGTTCTTGCAATTGCACAAACACGCACAGCAACACTCGTCGTACATAACGATGTATATTTACGTAGACTGATGTCAAGCCACATGTATAAGGTCATTATAGAACGTGTGTATACATTGCGTATACGATAAGATATGTAGTGTGTGTGTGTGTGTGTGTGTATACACACCACATCACGAGTTTGTGTTGAACACCAGTGATGTTGCAGTATTTGATTGGCTATGTGTGACATTAGTCGGTATCCGATCTGATAAACGAGCTATTTTATTTGCAGCTGCCAACCATGTAAAAACCTCAGAAGTGCGTTCAAATGTCAGTGCGACCTCTAGTTTCCGTGTTAGCGAAGCACACAGGAACCATGCGCAGACGTGACTAGTTTTGGCACCGTGACTGTCACAGTGTATTATGGGATAATAACACTAATTGAAACTCCATAGACGACAATGTTAACATATGACGAGATTGCTATATGAAAATGATAAACAAAGTTGAAAACATGGCTCAAAAATCAGCATGCCAGTAATCAACCACATGAAAAATCTAACATGTTGGCCAGCTCAAACTCTTGCAAATCTCAGCTAAACAAGACACACTTACTGTATTATGATTGCACCTAGAGATATCACTGGAAAAACACTAAGATTAGAACATCCAAATACACACAGAATAAACCCACAGGTACACAGCCGCTGAGTAGTAAACAAAATACTACATGTTAGTCTCACCTTTGACCCAGGTGATCAAGCTCTCAAACAGGGAGCAACTAATAAAAAAACCATTGGTTCTTGCAAGGCATTTAAATTGAGCGGTCATTGGTTGATTAGTGGCATGAGACATTAAATTAAGTAGCAAAGGTTCATATTGTCTAATTTCCGGATGTGTAAACAAAATCTTGAAAGCTTTAAAACTGATTTTGATCAAATTTGTCTATATATTGCAGCTGTATATCTGCTGTAGTGGCGGCGGCACAGTGGGGGCGGTCACCCCCCCTCGAAAAAAATGTTAGTTGGCTTCGCCCCTCCAAAATCAAGCAGATACCCTTTGTGTCAGCAAAATTTGCCCCTCAAAATACAGGAATTAGCGTTTCAGAGGGTCTATATTTCAACAATTTAAGGGGGAGCATGCCCGTGTACCCCCTAGTCAGGTCGCGCCTTCGGCCCAAGGTTGGTGAGCAGATCTCCCTCCCCATGCAAAATTGCCACCGCCTCTGATCTGCTGGCTGGTGATCCTAACCTCTAATGCCATAAATAATTTTTATAAAACAACAGTGGTGGCAAATATATTCTGTATTCACATTGGGGATTTGCAACGTTTAACTTTGATTAGTCAGTATGACCACATTTATTTATGTCATTGCACGTATTACTGTCCCTATAATAACGTCAAATTTCGTGCCGCCGCCTCCACGAATACTGTCAATATGTTGATTCATTGCCTAATATTCACCACATTCTATTGCCTGAAACGTCACAACAGACGTGAAGTTACAAATGGTTAAAAAGGCCAGGGAGCGATTGGTTACTTGGAGCAAATACCTGTTTAAATGTACCCGTTTTGTTAATCCATTTTGTTTTTTTATATCATTTATGAGTTATATTATTAGTAGCTGAGTCTGATGGAATAACAACCGTTTTCTGTCACAATGTGACTATTGTACCTGTTATAAAGCAAGACAGTCTCAATACGGGTGAATGCCATTTTTAAGTTCAAATAATCGAACACCAATATTTATCAATACTGCTAGTTATCTACTCATTATTATATCCTGTGAGTGCATATCATGCGTATCACTTATCAAAGGTGTAACAAATTTTAATTAGTAGAATGCATTTTCACGTCATGGAAAGATGTAAAACCTTAGCACCAGAACAATCAGAAACACGATAATATATTATATAAGACTCTGAAGGGTCTAATCTTTGGACAAATACACCTACAACTAACCGTCATAGTCAACTAAACTCTTCTAATTTAGTGAGTTATAAACTGAAAAGACTCTAAACATTTCAATTTGTATATTGATCAAGCGGCTGTATTGTATTGATCAAGCTGCATATGTGTGGGAATAAAGGGGAATGCAACCTTAAAGGTTAATTATTATTATTAGAAATTGTGTGCAGAAACATATTTATATTTTTACAGCCACACTGACAGCGAGAATAAGCCTGTTTGGAACATTTGATTTGCATAATCTTCTATAATTTTTACATGGGACTTTTATAAAACAGTAGGTCATTTTTTTACCTGGTTCTAGTTTTAAGCTTCAACCACATAACGACAGACATGCCACCGAATATCTGTTGAACAGATTTGACAGGCTGAAAAGGTATACAATTACGCCATTACTATAGTATCAATTGTATCCATTAATGTAGGTTGTTTTTATAATATAATATTTCGACTCTGTTTTCTTTCATTTGAGGTGGGTGAATCCTATTCTCAGCTATGGCTACAATCACACACTGCGAACTGAGGACATGTATGATACTTTGCCAGATGATTCGTCTGAACTGTTAGCAAATAAACTACACAGGTATGTATTACATTAGTATGACTTTTATGTATTTCCTTAATTTTCTGTAACCAACAAACTTGTTTCCTTAAGGTTTTGTCCCTTTGGTGAACAGTGTCATTTTGCATTTAGGATGGGAGGTTTCACAATAGCGATGTTAATGCAAATCCTAGATTCAGTACATAGGTGCATAGTGATGTTGTTCATTGAGTATGTCTCTTCTGTAGTAAACATTATACACAGAATAATATAATTATATTTAATGTGTTGTATGCTTGCAGGAAATGGGAAGATGAAATATCGAATAAAAGCAATGGAAAAGAACCAAGTCTTACTAAAGCAATTATTTACAACATTATGCCTTCATTGATATCATCGGGTGTGCTTCTTTTTATTAATGTATGTAGATGCGCAGTTTTCAAAATAGTCTTATTTTAAAATTTACACACAGCTTTCCCAGTCGTAAAGTACTAAATTAGTTTCACCAAGGGGAGAAATAGTAGATTTGTATGTTGCCTTCTAGCATTCTGAAAGTCTATTTGCTGCATCTTACATCAGAAAATGACCCTTTAACAAC